TGCACATAAATGTGACAATGTAGATGAAACAGATGAATTTGTTGAAGGAACAAACTATCAAAATACACTCAAGAGTAAATAAATCTGTTTTTTCTACATCTATATCTTAGTGAATTTTATCAAATATTTAAGCAAGATATAACACCAGATACTTTCAATGTCATCTAGAAACTAAGAGGGAGAGGAAACAACTTTCAGACTTGTTTTATGAAAGTTGCTCATAATGACAACCAGATGAAAATTGTACAAGAAAAGAAGCTATAGATCAATACTCATGAATATAGATGTTAAAATTTTCAACTAAATTTGGATTAAAGCTCAACATTCAGAAAACTAAGATCATGGCATCTGGTCCCATCACTTCATGGCAAATAAATGGGGAAACAGTGGAAGACTATTTTTCTGGGCTCCAAAATCACTGTAGATGGTGATCGCAGCCATGAAATTAAAAGACACTTACTCCTTGGAAGGAAAGTTATGACCAACCTAGACAGCATATTAAAAAACAGAGACATTGCTTTGCCAACAAAGGTCCATCTAGTCAAAGCTATGGTTTTTCCAATCAAGGCTATGGTTATGGATGTGAGAGTTGGACTATAAAGAAAGCTGAACACCGAAGAATTAATGCTTTTGAACTATGGTGTTGGAGAAGACTCTTGAGAGTCCCTTGGACCGCAAGGAGATCCAACCAGTCCATCCTAAAGGAGATCAGTCCTGGGTGTTCATTGGAAGGACTGATACTGAAGCTGAAACCCCAATACTTTGGCCACCTGCTGTGAAGACCTGACTCACTTGAAAAGACCCTAATGCTGGGAAAGATTGAGGGCAGGAGGAGAAGGGGACGACAGAGGATGAGATGGTTGGATGGTATCACTGACTCAATGGACATGGGTTTGGGTGGCCTCCGGGAGTTGGTGATGGACAGGGAGGCCTGGTGTGCTGTAGTTCATGGGGTCGCAAAGAGTCGGACACGACTGAGAGACTGAACTGAACTGATACATTAGTAAATTGAATCCTACAAAATAAAGACAAATAATATGTCATTAAAAGTTGGATTTGTCTCAGGAATGCAAGCATGAGTGAACACTCAAACAGTGAAGCGCACCACATTAAAAGGTGTAACAAGAAAAAAAGTCATATAATTTTATTGACATATGCAAAAATCATTTGAAAATATTTTAATATCCAATCATGATTTAAAAAAAAAACAACTTCAGCCAACTAGAAATAGAAGCAAACTTTCTCAGGTGATAAAGAACAACATAAGTGATGGTTGAAGATTAAGTAGTGTCTATTACCAGAAACAAAGTAAGGGTGATCATTTTGACCACTTCTGTCCAATATCATATTTGAAGTCTTTGTATATTCATTAAGGGTAGAAAAAAAGACATTCAGATTGGAAGGAAATAAAATTATCCCTTTTTGCAAGTTACATGCTATCTACATAGAAAATACCAAGGAATTTAAAGAAATCTGGAAATAATGTTTATCAAGATCCATACACAAAATTCAGTCAATGAACAACTGCAACTAAAATTTAAAAATAACTGTAATTTATAATGGTGTTCCCAGGTGGCGCTAGTGATAAAGAACCCAGCTGCCAATACAGGAGACTTAAAAGATGAGGGTTTGATCCCTGGGTCGGGAAGATCCTCTGGAGGAGGGCATGGCAATCCACTCCAGTATTCTGGCCTGAAGAATTCCATGGACAGAGAAGCCTGGTGGGCTACAGTCCATAGGGTCACACAGAGTCAGACATGACTGAAACAACTTAGCATGGATGCACATCATTTAAAATAGCTCAAATAATAGATCAAAATATGTGTAAAACTTACATACTCAAAGCTACAAAACACTGATGAAAGAAATTTTTAAAAGACCTAAATCAATGGAGATATAACTATAGTCTTGTGTTTTAAGAATATAGTTATGATATCAATTTTCACCAGAGTAATCAATAGAGTTAGTGCAATTTAATGTATATATCTTCTCCTTGTATCTTTCTCCTTTAATTAGTAGTGCTTTTAGATTAATATAGAAAGCTTAATTTTAACATAGTCCAATTTATTAATATTTCCCAAAGGCTATTTTTAATGGCCTATTTAATACCCTTTAAGAAAATTTTGCTTACTCTAATATAATACAGATACATTCCCTCCCATATATTTTCTTATGGCTTTATTACTTGGCCTTTCTATTAAAATCTAAAATAAATCTGCAGTCTGCTTTTTGTATATAGTGTAGTTGTTGGAACTAAACTTTAGAGTAATAAATATTAATATTCAACTTAACAGCATATATTAAAAGGAAAGAACATTATTCTCTATTGCACTGTGTGACATATATGTCACGTGGGTGACATATTTGCCCATAGAATGGACAGACAACTGTCCATTCTAGACCTCATATTTATTGCATTGGTCATTTTTTAAAAAAAATCTTTGTATCAATACCACTTTGTCATAATTAGTATGAATTTTTGTTTGAACATATTGTAGTCTACTCGGAGTAGAGATGCATAGTTGTAATCAGTTGTCTGAGGACCTGGAGCTAAGTTACATTGTAGGTGTGCAGCTACATATAAGTACCCTATACTGAGCAGACAGAATGCATATTTAGATAAAAATCTGTTAAGGACATGACATAATTTGTATTCTTGTTAATTGATACAAGTCATCTGGGACTTTTTGAGGGGCAACTCTTGTGCTACCTCTATTTCAGAAGTATAAGGAAGATATATTTTACATTCAGCATTGGGAAAAAAAATGAGGGATCCTAGAACATTCTGGATAACATTATCTGCAATTGAATCATATTATTGTTGTAAATTCCTTTTCATGGGGATATTTGAAAACACATTTTTTTTTAATACTTTGAGCATTAACTAGACTTACAGGTTGACCTAATAATATGGCTGGCTTAGAGAAAGAGATTAGATGAATAGATTCAGGTTAATAACATTCCCAGGATGGCTAGAAGTGTAAAGGTTCTTTCTGTGTTCAAGGCCTTGTTGTGACAGTACAAGTTAAAGAGGTAACTGCACTATAGGATTGAAGCAACTGATTATCTGAGTAATGCAGGAATGCCAGCTTTGTGTCCATGGATCAGGAAGAGTGCCTTGCTAGCACAGAACAGTACTGTACACCGTGGTATAAAGTAACCTTAGGTATGCAACTGATTAAACTGGTGAATTGAGAAAGATAGTACAGGCACAGTTTGCATCACCATGACTGGGTTATTACTCACATTTAAGGATCCAAATCCAGAAGAATAATTTATGAAAGTTGGAATCAAATTATATCTGTATTGGAAGAAAGATTTATCTTCTCCAACTCTGGACATGAAATGAGCCTACCCATGAGTGTAGCCATATCTGAACTGATATGAATGATAATGCCACTGGGGCAAATGATAGTTACAGGCCAAACTAAGCCATGCCACCTGACTGACCTTGAGTGAGAATACCTGCAAGCCCATATATGAAAAGGTCAACAGACTTTTACTCCTATCATTGTTAAGACTGTGTGAATCTCTCCCAGGAGATGAAACAATTCAGACATACATCTAGATGCCAGAACACAGGGCTAGGCAGAACTGTAGGAAATGAAGCTGAGCTGTGGGTTGATTGTCTCTTACTCTGGGAAAGCTCTGACTCATGGAGAATCACCTACGAATTTCTCTGTGCTTGCTTGAAGACTGGAGTTTTGATAGGGCAGCCAGATTTCAAGGCTAGCTTACAATGGTTAAGGTGGCACTTCAATTTGAGGGATGCTCCAGGGGTAACAGAAATGATGTCGATGGCACCAGTAGAAAGTCTGTGGTAGCAACTGTGCACCTGGACGGAAGCTCCTTTCGCTACGACTGTTGCGCTAGGATGTCTATCCTAGACTGTAGCCAACATCCTCTCCTCTCATCTAAGATATATTAGGAATGCAGGTAGACTCAAGAAGCTACTCCAAATGAAGGACTCTGATTTGGTGCTTTTAAAGTTTAAGCCAGGAAGATGTGAATGACAGTTTGTTATTAGTTACTGGAATATTACAGCTCTTTAAGACAAAATGCCAAAATTCTGGGCTGCAGCAGAGACAATGGTTTAAGATGTAATTGTAGTTTAAAATACAAATATTGCAAAAGGTAAGTATTGAAAAATATTAATGAATTTTCCTATAAATAAATATCATAATTGCAAATTAAATACAAATTAAAAGGAAGCAATAAATATTAAATTAGAAATAAAATTATTAAATAGAATTAATATAAGTATTAACCTGAATAGATTTTATTTTATTCTAGCTGAGGTTTGTGAAATAAATGTCTAAAAGTTTGAGTTTGATGAAGTGAAGTCTTTAACAATGAATACACAGAATTTAGCCAATGTCATCTCTATCTTTAGGAAATGAAAATATTCTTCCTATGAACTTAATATTTGATGGATTACTGCTATTATCAGTGATTCAGGGAGAATAGCCATGCCACACGCTTGCGAATTACCTTATTTTTCACACCATAGACAATAGGGTTGAGAGCAGGGGGCACAAGGAGGTAGATGGTAGACAGAAGAATGTGGGTAGAGGGCACAACATGTCCAAACCGATGGCTGAAGAAGGAGAAAAAGGCAAGAATATAAAACTCAAGGAAAACAAAAATGTGAGCTGTGCATGTGTTGAACGCTTTAAGCCGTGCTTCCTTTTGGTGTAGACGAAAAACAGCCTGGAAAATAAGGATATAGGAAATGAGGATGAAAGTCATGTCAAATCCTAGAATTGTGAAACCTACGAAAAGACCACATGTTTTATTGACATGGATGTCTTCTGCAGCCAGCTTGACCACAGCCATGTGCTCACAGTAAGAGTGGGCAATTACAATGGAATGGAAAAAGTGCAATCTTTTGATTAAAATGGGTAAAATGCCAAAGAGCACTGTTGCTTGGATTGCCACAACCAGCACCATACTAACCAGAATGAAAGGTGTAAGGGTGGATGTGTACCTCAAAGGATCACATATGGCAACATAGCGGTCAAAGGCCATTGCCAACAGGATTCCAGATTCCATGCCCTGCAAGGCATGGATGAAGAACAGCTGGGCTAAGCAAGCATCAAAGGCCATGGAATAAAAACCAAACCAGAAGATAGCCAACATTTTTGGAGCAATGGCTACACAGAGTCCTATGTCAGTGGCTGCCAACACTGCCAAGAAGATGTACATGGGCTGGTGCAGACTGTGTTCTGTAGGGATGATGATCAGTAAAATAATGTTTCCCAAAAGAGCCACTAGGCACACAGCAAAGAAGGAAAACCCAATCCAAAACTGCACATGCTCCAGTCCAGGGATGCCAATCAGTGTCACTGTTTTGGGGTCCATATATGACATGTTCATGGATTCCATGGATGTTAGTGATCTCTTTTCACCGTTGGTTCTCATACCTAGAGAAGAGAATGAATGCGAAGTGAAACAGGACACTGACCTCACTATCATTCAGACATATCGGACATTAAAGAAATAAATGTAGTGCTTTAGATGAAAATCAGGCCAGAACATTGAGAGGTTCTACGCAGGATGACAGGATGGTGGTAGAAAGCCATCCTACAAAACCTTTACTAGAGACAACAGGGGAAAGTCTCAGGATTTCTAACCTACCATTTATGTAAGTAGAAACTATGACTCAGAACACTCTTCTTGAATTTTCCATGACCTAGAGTCTGGGCTGTTTGCAAAAATGTCAGACTTTCTATCTTTATCTCTAGATACCAACCCAATTTTGCCGTAAATGCAAATTCTCCCTGGGATTCTTTTTTTTTTTTTTTTTTAAATTAGTTGGAGGCTAATTACTTTACATCATTGCAGTGGTTTTTGTCATACATTGAAATGAATTAGCCATGGATTTACATGTATTCCCCATCCCGGTCTCCCCTCCCACCTCCCTCTCCACCTCTCCACCCTCTGGGTCTTCCCAGTGCACCAGGCCCGAGCACTTGTCTCATGCACCCAACCTGGGCTGGTGATCTGTTTCACCCTAGATAATACTGTTGCTCTCGCCCATGTGCATTAGTCCACAATCCTGTTGGGAATCTTCACCCTTAAGCAGTCTATTCCTGGTCCCAGAGAGCATGCTATTTATCCCCAAGTCATTGGCATTAGTTCTCAATTGTAGATCAGTAGGAGTGAGTTTAGCTATCTTACATTCACTTATTCCAATATCAAAATGCTGAATAAGTCACTAATTGGCAGGGCATTAAGCAGCATGCCCCTTAGAGGAGATTTGGAGAAGGTGATCTGTTTTTAAAGGCTTCTGGAGTTGTTGGTTCTATAAATTATTCTTCATTTATGTTTAAGGAGAACTGTTGCATGGAATAAGGAAGGTGAAAAACAGATGATATTTTTACAGGGAGGCTTTAGGAAATTTAAAAAAAAGAATAGAAATATTTCAAGAAGAGTAATAGCTAAAAATAGGGTAGAATTGAGTCAAAAGCAGAACTAAGCTAGTTTACATGTAACATATAGCTGGATGCATGATATTATGCTTTCCCCCCACAAGCTAGAATTCAGTAGATAACTAGTTGTATATCCTTCTGCTTTATGCAGTGGGGATCCTACTTTTCTTTTTAATAGCTTTATACTGTACTATGATCCCAAGTTGTACTATGTCTCTCTACAGTATTCTGTGGTTAATTAGCTGTGGCTTGGATTCTGAAGCACTTTTGAATATAATGACCATCTCTTAGTACCTCTCTAGTTTTATACTCTTTTCTGTATTTGACTTGGGTTCCCTTTTATAAGGTCATAATCTCAAATTTAAGAAATTTATTTTTATTTCCTATTAATGTCTATTTCATTAATCATTCTGTAATATTTGGACCATTTCACATTTTACTACTGTCTGTCCATGCCTAAAAACTGATTGAAACTACTCCCACAAAGAGGTTTCCTCTGATCTGGTCATATTCATATACCCTGGAAAAGGAAGCCATTTATGAATAGAAGTGGAAGTCTCTATTTTTTGTTTGTCTGTGGTGTTATTCTCTTGAAAAGATCATATAAGTAGCTGTTTCATCACTTAAAGCACATGTATAGAGGTATAAAAGGAATTTTTGGTGTAATAATTCTCATATGAATGAAAAAAGAATGATGGAGATACATTGAGATCTCTTTGCTTGTGATCCTGCACCAATGTGAATGCTATATACTGTACTGATATTAACACTGCAGTCAGAATAGTCATAAGGTATGGATTAAAGCAATAAATGTTGTGACAAATGATTTTCTTTAATGTTTATATGTAGTATTTGGAAGGATATAGTGGGAGAAACGATGAAATGTGTGGAAGATGTTGCTAATAATTATGAGTGTGAGTTGTGAGAAATGATAGAAGCTAAGAGAAAAGGAAATCTCAGAATCAAAATAAATCAGTATCTCCTCAATTCAAAAACTGCCTGAATTGTAAAGGCAAAAATAAATAGTCACACCCACTTAGCGACAATGCTTTTATCAGATTAATTGTCTAATTATCAGTAATTGGATCACAAAGAGTCTGAGCGACAGCATAGCACAGTTAACACAGTTATACTTTGGCCACCTTATGCAAAGAGCCAACTCATTGGAAAAGACCCTGATGCTGGGAAAGATTGAAGGCAGGAGAAGGGGACGACAGAGGATGAGGTGGTAGGATGGTATCATGGACTCAACGGACATGAGTTTGAGCAAACTCCAGGAGATGGTGAAGGACAGGGAAAGCGTGGTGTGCTGTAGTCCATGGGGTCACAAAGAGTCGGACAGAACTGAGTGACTGAAAGACAAGAAGTTAAAATTAAGTGCTTGAAAATATGAAAGATGACCTGGCTACTAATCCTAGATCTCACCCTCTAACACTTAACTATAGAATTTTGCTGAGGATTTTATGGAATATTAGAGTTCACTTGCCTATAAAGGAATAATAACCTCACTTACCTCAGTGCTAAATAAGATATAGAATAGATTGGTGGTTGGCACAGTTCAGGTATTATCTATAGTAGCTATGAAAAAACTGGTTATTTTACCAAGAAACAAGCTAATAAAATTGAGGAAGCAAAGCAAAACACACAACTGAAAACTCCTTGATTATAGAAATGAAAAGAAAAAAAAAACCTCACAAGAAGATGAAAATTCCAGAGCTTAAGAGCTTTCTTCATCTTCCTATATATAAGATTGACCACAGCCAAAATATTAAGGTGATATCTTTAGTATCATATAGTTAGGAAATGTCACATAATTTTTTAAGTGTATTTGTAATAATTACTCATTTACAAACTTTGTGAATTAGTAGGAATAAAATGCTGTGAGCCCAATGCATCAAAATTGCATTGAATACAATTAGGATGAGAAACAATAAGGGCTTGGGTTTGATGATCTTTAGCTTTTTGTTTATTTTAATTTATTTGCTTATTTTAATTGGAGGTTCATTACTTTACAATATTGTAGTGGTTTTTGCCATACATTCACATGAATCAGCCATGGTTGTATATGTATCCCCCATCCTGAACCCCCTCCCAACTCCCTCCCCATCCCATCCCTCAGGGTCATCCCACTGCACCATAGCTTTTAAATAATCTAGTCACATACAGGATCATCTAATTCTTACTTATTGAGAGGAAGAGGAATAAAAGGTACTAACAGATGATCTCCAATAGAAGCAAACAGCCAGAAAGGAGATTGGGATATCTTTTGCCCCATCACAACGAAGATTAATATTTTGTATAAATTAATAAGATACTAAACCTTTTGAAAGCTTACAATTTTCCTATATTGTCTTACTTTCCATATCACTCAAACATATACCATATCTCCGCAGACATAGATGGTCTGTTGCTCATAATTATTCTTTTTAGTTTTCAGGAAGCCAAAGAACATTAGAGTCAACAGGCCTCCAGGTGACTTGAATCCAGAATCTTGGGGACCATTTTTCACACATAATAAATTACTTGAGGACTATAAATAACAAGATGAGACTAAATTATCTGCAAAATTATTTCAAATCTAAGTTATATTAATCTAGCTCCCCAACTCTCTTTTTGTTGATGAAAAATTCTAAACACAGAGAACAGAAATGACATGGCAATGGACAGAAAAATTAATGACCAAAGCAGCATTTTAAAATGTTAGTCTATTTCCCTCTAGCAGAAGCAGTAGGCTGAGCGTGAGTGAGCATACTCTCCAGCAGGTGATTGCTGGGCTCTTCTGTCCCATTTACTCTAAGGGCTTAGAGTTCTAAAGGCTTAAAGTACTCTTTGGAATTACTGTTTCAGGTATACAAAGCTTTGGTATGTGCTGAAAACCCTCTGAATCTCAGATATATTTTAAAAAAACATTAAAGTTATTCATTATTTTAAAGGAGATTGCTAAGTTGCCAGGTTTTAAAAATGTTTTATTCAAAGCTAATTATACTAATTGACTGTCACAGAAGGGTTTGATAGTTGTTAAGAGGTAAGGATGGTTGGATGGCATTACTGACTGAAGGAACATGAGTTTGAGTAAGCTCCAGGAGTTGGTGATGGACAGGGAAGCCTGGCATACTACAGTCTATGGGGTCACAAAGAGTCAGACATGACTGAGCCACTGAACTGAACTGAACTGAAGAGGTAAGGATCTAAGAAGACTGTCAATAATGGGTTTTCCCTCTCAGCGGTTGCAAATGTAGACTGTTTCCTAACCCAGAGCTTTAATAGTTCACTCACTTACTTTAAAAATCATTAATTAACTAAGATTGCAATGTGAAGATGGCAAACTGCCTTTCTGTAGCAAGCATGTAGATTGTGGGCTTTTAAGTAACAGTGACCAAAATGTGAGGATGTCCACCTAGGCAGTTTTCTTCTGAGTGAGACTCAACTGTCTGCACTCACTTTCAATCCTCACATGATGCCATCACATTTTTGTTTATTTACTTATTTATGTGTTTATTTTGGGTATTAAGTTGTCAGTAGTTGTCCAGCCTCAGAATTATTTATCCAGCTTCAGTATACAAAATATCAATTTGAATTATAAGGAGAAGAAAATGCTTTCATGCACTAACAGTTATCATCTTCATTGCTTTTCCTATTCTTTTTTCTTCACAGTTTCCTCAAGAATTTATTCTAAAGGCTGACATCTCTCCCTTCTTTCCATCTCATTATTTTACCTTCTTTACTCTACTTTCTGATTGTTTTTCATTTTATTCCTTTATAATTGCTCATCTTTCACTTCTTTCTTGTGTCTTTCCTTCCTTTCTTCCACTTTCTCTCTTTTTTAATCACTCTTTTTTTAATGCCTATCCAATGTTTTCTCAGAGTTAGGTTTTCATCAGTTGTCCACTCTTTCTGGAATATTTGCCTCCCCACTCTCTCCTTTCTCCCATGCATTTATCAATTTGAGACTTT